TTTCCCTTTCCTAAATCCCTGTGGTGGCCTCTTTCTGCTCCTGGGCTCCTCCTACCAGTCCAGGCAATTTCAGCTACAGCTGAGGAAGCTAAGGCAGAGGTTACTGTTCTCTGAAAATAATGAGCGGGACAACTGTGTGAATAGACTGTAAAAAGCATAATATTTACTCACAAATTTAATTCAGATACCCAAGAAGAAATTCCTTTGGTTTTGCTATAGGTTTTTGTTCCTCCAAAGAGTTTCTTTTCATTATATATATCTGACTTCCCATGCAGAAACAGAAAATGTTTATTAACCACATATATACAAAATATATGTCAATTACAAAACACTGGAAAATCACAACATCAACTTTTGCCCTTATGCATTAAAAAATTTGCAATCTATTAAAAACTGTAGTAGAGGTGCTACCGTTGAAATATTAACTATCAGGTATAATTTCTGCATCTGCACAGAAGAACACAAAGTGGTATCTGCTTTGTTCACTCAGGTTTGACTTTTAATTCACTGACTGACAGTTTGTCATATGAAACTTGATTGTACAGTCTAGCTCTACAGTTTTAGTGCATCAGCTGAGATGAGCCAATCAGTTGGTGTGTAATACCACATGCACTTTTAGTGCCCCAGTGACTTCTCCTGGGAAACAAATGCAGTTGGTGCAATTTGATCCTGGATAATGCAGACCCAGGTTTCAGGGGAGCAGGGGAGGTATGATGTGCATGTTTAGGAAAACATTGGCTCTGTGTATGCTAGGGGTTTCTGTTGGCATACCTCCATCCAATTCTATACAGCAGAGTTATATTAGCAGTAGTCAGCAATGTACTGATAAGGAGTATTAGTTTCTTTACATTAGCATAACTGTGCATACAGCTGAGTGGCAAAAATTATGAATCCTAAATTGCGAAGTCTTTTTTAAGAGTACTGAGTCACAAGATGTAAAGAAGAGACTTTGACAGTGCTACACTGGGTAGAGAACTAGCTAACAACTTTTATGCTTACTTTCATGCTAACTGTTTTTGTTTCAACTTCAGATACAACACATTTGGGGAAGTGAGGCACAGAATAGAATTGATACCAGCTGCCCACTTAGAGAGGAAGGAATAAGCTCTGCATGAGTTGACAATTCATACCATAACAGTTTGTGATTTTTGGTTTTTTTTAAAATAAAGAAGATTGTAAGAGTAATTTTAAGATATAGTTATTTTATTCTAATGAAAGGGACAATTTGGAGCATAGGAAGTAGTAAATTTTACAACACATTCTGCATCACCAAATCACACAGTACCAGAAAAAAATGATAGCACCTGCTAGCTAACTGGATCACTATTTCAAAGCAATATGGACAGCATGGATGAAAACCACTCTTTCTAGCATGAGATACCAAGTGTTATCACCATAGTTTACTGCAAGCTGGCAACAACCTGAAATACTCTGGCAGATTCTTGTCTACAGTCAGAAAATTTTGCAAGAAACTCTCTGTGACCCTGAACTTTATACTCTCTGGGGTGCTCATATATTTCTCGACCTGAGTGTATCCTAGAAGTCAAACTCCTCGGGATTTATTGTCTTGTGCCTCAAATAACACTTTGCCCTGCCCTCCAGCTGTATTTTTGCAGTCAAATATTTTCATTTTTTTCACTGGATAGTCTTGTGTTTATCTGCTTAAATTTATGGTCACTTGAAGTAACCAAATTTAGAATTGACTTCAGTATCCCATTAATATTTTATTGCTTTATTTATCAGCTTTGCAGCTTTTGGCAAACTTAGGCTTTAGTGCTTTCAGACTGGAACATATGTTGCCATTTGGTTTTTTAAAAAAGAACTACCCATTCATCATTATTCAGGGTCAGCTTACAAGTAATTCTCATTTTCTTTCCTACTCCTCCCCTAGGCCATGTCAGCCTATGTTTGTCACTGGGCACCACGTGTATACCTTACTCAAAAGCAAAGGTAAGTATGCACAACGCAACTCAGAAGAAGATTAAAATAATATCTGGATGAGTTTATATTGTGGGGTTTACAGAAATTTACCCCTTAACCTAATGTAATATATTTTTTGGAAATTTCAGCCAGTTGGTCATGAGAATACACTGAAACATTTTCAGCATTTTACAAGTTAATGGATGTGCAGGGAATTAGGGACCTGTATATTTTGTTGATTTTTATTTTTAATCACTAAATTCACTAAATTTAGTAAGAGTCCATTATTATGATGCTTTTTTTTTTATCACTGCAGTGTTTATTGTTATATTGGCTTACCATTGGCTCAAACTAACTAACTTCCAAAGTACACCTGGAAAACAGAGCTAATTTTTTCCCCATCTCTTTGCTAAATACAGACTCACACTTCAATTCCTTCAAGTTTCTTCTTTGAAACTGGTCTCTCTCTATATATATATTTACTCCTGAAAAGACATACGAAACAGAAGGCATTGCCTTCATATCATCTGCACTTAAGTCATGAAAGTTTCTGAAACCACCATTGCTAAAGATTCTCTGTTGGTTTCCAAATATACGAGTAAAATATACTGAGGGGAAAAAAAAGCTGCTTCAAGTTTAATATGTTCCATACATGCCAGTTAATCTAGTGGAATAGTAACACAGCTGGGTCTTCGCCAGGAAGCCCCTACTAACTCAGATTCTTGCCTACAGTTAATAAATACATTTTACCATTTGAATATGTAAGATTACTATTGCATCATTTATCTAATGGTAAGAATAAGAAATACCTAAGGATGCTAAAGGTGCAGTCACAATGAGTGCCACAGAGCACAGAAGCAATACTGAGCCTTAGGGCATCCACATTTCTTGCTGGGGATTCTCAGCTAAGCAGATGTACATAAAATGGAAGAAGTTTTTCACCAGATCTGCAGGTTGTTCTGAAACACTAGATATCACATTAGCTATGCTATTTCTCATTCACTCCTTGTCCTGTGCTTTACATGATTAGACAGAAATTGCTACTCTAGGTCTGACCTTTACCTTGAAAAATACAGACATGAAAGAGCTCCACTTGTTCTTTACAGTTAGATTACAGAATTTTTGATTATTATGGAGAGTTTTCACGGAGGAAACCTTGACTGATACAGAACTAGTCAAGCTGTCCAACACACCCACCGGACACGGCCAGAAGGAAGACATTGGCAGCACCTTAAACTGCATGTTACTCTTAGTTAAACTTTCTAGCAGCTTTTTAGAGCCAGTGGAGAAAGGCTACTCTAAAATGTACTGAAGCTACTGCAAACCGGCTTAGGTCTAGAATCAGTAGCATGTGTGCATAGAACCAAATTTATTTTTTGCTCCACCTCTACCTCAAGTTCTGTCTTAGAATTACAGAATCATTTGTGGTTGGAAGGGATCTTGAAAGGCTGCATGTGTGGTCCAAGCTACTGCTCAAAGCTGGGTGAAAACTGAATCAGACTAGGTTGCCCAGACTTGTCATGGAAAAACTCCATGAACAGAGATCCTGCCAAATTCTCTGATGACCTATTTCAGCTATCCTCATAGCATCTTAATATCTTAATTTTAATAAACCAAACTAGAGAATTGAGAGTTTTGTCACCAGATTCTGTCTTGTTTACTTGCTAGACACCAAAGCAATTTCTAAATAACAATGCAACTCACATTGAACTTTTTGGTATTCCAGAAGAAATACTTGTTGCAAGAAAACCTACAGAGTCTGCAAGCTGTTCCAACAACAGTGAAATGCTGAAGTCAGTGTCAATAAAACTGAGAACTGGATAGTTATCCTACAAGTTCATCACTCCTAATAAAAACATTACTTGATCCAAAGATGTCTTTGCTCTTTTATGAGATCTGATATCTGAAGCTGAGTGGGTCACATGGGAAGCTTAATAGGAACACACAAGTAATCTCAAAATTTTCTCTGCAGATCTGGAGAACATATTTTTAAAGACTTCCAGCAAAGATGCAGTGTTCTCTTTCCTGAAGACACGATGAAAGGGAAAACCTAGCCTGCCTCTGGAATTTAGCACTGCACAAAAAAAATAAAACCCTGATAAAAAGAGTAATGGAAAAAACACCACAACAAATAAAACTACAAAACACCCTAGAAAGACTGAAGAGAAACTTAGAGAAAGAAAGGTCTGTGTGAGCTTGAATCCTAAAGAACAGGTGTAAGAAGTGTCTTATTATTAGAACATACTCCTACAGTTTTAAACTTCATTCTTGTGTAACATTGGGAAAACCCTGAAACATATTACCTCAGAAGAAACCTCAAGTACTGTGGCAAGGCGATCATTACTGCTTGTCTAGCTGCTGCTCCAAATCCATGGTTCTTTTTCCTGATTGCGATCACCTCTACAGAAGAATTTGGTAGATAGAAAAATACAAAACCTATTCAAGAGCTCATGGTTTTGGCCATAAACTGTACCGAGCTGACTTGAAGCCCAAAATAGCATGTGAAACCAAGAGAGTAAGTTTGTTAAGATGTGTAACTTCACAGTTTCCACAGGCTAAAGTCTATGTCTTTTTCCACTTTTTCAGACAAATCTGGAATAAAAACAATGACCTAAATACACTGCAATAACAAGAAGCTATAAAGATTCTCTAATCTATTTGTAAAGTCCTAGAAAACTACTTACATATATTTTCAAAAGTAATTGTCCATCACTATTTCAAGCATATGCTTAAAAACTGATTTGGTAAATATTTCTAAAAGCACTTTATATGTTACAATGACTGTACAAAGTAAATTCAAAAGCATCTTTGAGTAAAACTCCTCTTTAAAGAGGCAAAGAGATATAGGTTCTGAATTTTCATTAAGTCTTGCTATTGGTAGCTTTGTCTTAGCAACAGTGAAAAATCATCATCCCTTTTTAACAAACACAATCTTACCAGCTTTCTGTCACTCTCAGAATTCCTACTTCCTTTGGAATAGACTGAAGAAATTAAATCCACCACTAAAAACAATGGCCTTGATACCACTAGAGGTCACTCTAGGAATAAAATCAATGCTCTGCAATGCCCGAGAACAGCGAACTTTTACAAAAACACCACTGCTGCTTGACATTTCAAACACAACTGTATAGAAGAACATAACACACAGAAACATTGTGCATATCAAAATTACGGATTTCCAAGAGAAAGACTTCCCTTATTCTGAGGCTATTGCAAAAGTTGCTTTGTCTCTTGCAAAAGAAAAAGTAAATAAAAATATCTTCAAATTGTGGACTTCAAACAGATAATTTCTCTAAAGTGCTTTATTTAGCCCATACAGAAGATATCATTTTTCAGCATCAAGAGTTATGGTCTTAAAACTGGCCATATTTATTCTCCATGGACTATGCTGGATTTGTGTGGGAAAATACAAACTGTCAGTGTCCTCAGCTTCTGTCATTTTCTGATTGAAAACACGTGTGTCTCCTCATTTCATGGGATTAATACAGATCAAGATTCTTCTGCTTCATATGAAAAAAGTTAAATGTCATCTCAGTTACAAGATGTGAAGCAGTGAAAGAAACTGAGCTCATTTTATTTAAATATGGATTTATTTAAATAACAGATTAACTCTGATGCAAACCAGCAGTTTGGAAGTGCTATGTGCTTTCCATTCACACAGATCACAGCAGATGAGTTCAAGACAGTTATAATTATCAGTCTAATTAATGTTATGTATGTCCGCAAGACGCCACAATGGTTGCAGAGAGAGCTATCATACACTTCCTGAATATACATTATATCCACACCAGATACAAACCATGGTGGGCCAGCTCTTCCAGTGGCATGGGCCATACTGGAAGTGTTCAAGGTCATGTTGGATGGAACTTTGAGCAACCTGATCTAGTGAAAGATTTCTCTGCCTACAGCTGGAGGGTTGGACTAGATGATCCTTAAAGGTCCCTTCCAATCCAAATAATTCCATGATTCTGTGATATAACACTCTGGACAACTGGGAACAGGAGTTCCCCATTCTAACTCTTCAGAGTATAGGATATATGGTAGTGGCAGCACCACAAATGTTGGAAGAATCATTGCTTGAAATTCTGTTCTTACACTGGCTAGAATACTCCTGCAAGAGTGCCTTGATGCATTCATTATACAGCATTGTCTGTCCCTGCTTTATTCTGCTTTGGTCGTGTTCTTTCACTTCTAATCAAGGAAAGGTGAGTAAGCAGAAATGAACACACTATAAAGAAACACAACAGCAGGGCAAGAAAAAGGGCATAAACTGATAATATCTTTAGAATGGATATCTAGCTTTGAAAATGTAGGAAAAGATGATATAAACAAAGCTGTGAAGGAAACAAAGATAATGAGAACTTTCCCTATTTTTGCTTGAAACGGGTATGTGTTACAAATCCAAATAGAAAAATAACATGCCAAAATCCTTGGTCTCAGGCATTTGCCACACTAAGTTAAATGCTGATATGCATTTTCAGAGATTCAAATATATCTGTCACTTCAGACTCACCTAGTCATTCTATTTTTTATAAGGAATGGGCTTTTTCAAAGGATTTTTGCTTTAAAAAGGACTTGGGAACAGCTCTTTGAATAACAGCAGAAATACAGAACCTTATTTCTAACACTTGAGTTACAAAACCTGGAAAAATATGTTTGTTTTTTCTAAAATAAAATATTAATGAAAGTAGACCTTAATGCTGAAATCTGTACAAAGGATGCAGATTCCTTACAAAGACCCACATTTGCCTTGGTTTGTTGGGTTTCTTTTTTGTAATTTCAAATAGCTCTGCAGATACAATGGAGTTAGACAGAAAGAGAGATTAATTTGGTCCCAACATCCCCAGAAGCAGAAAGGTTTTGCTATCTCTTGATGTTTTCAAAAGAATCCCAAAAGAACTGATAGGTTGCTACTAGCCCAGGTTTCAAAACTTATATAAAAAAAAGAAGGGAGGCTCATGGAGCACAAGATGAAAACAGAAAATATTTGAAATGGAAGTCTAAAAAACTGCATTTCAACCTAACTGATAGGGTAATGGCAATTATCAGTAAAAAGGGGCATACTGTACTGAAGATGCTGCACCACTGGCCATGGACTCTAACATACACGTTTATTTAGAAAATGTGTTTCAGACTACACATAATGGATGACGCTTCTGTGCATGAAGCTGTTCCCTGACCTGTTTGAAGCTGACTGAACAGTCTGAGGGACTTGTAGATTTACTAAACGTTTCTGGTGATACAGACAGATCAGTCAGAAGTATGTTTAAGGGTCCTCCTAACTTCCAGAGCTGACCCAACAGAGGCATCTAGTCAAGACATAGTTGAACAGGTTAAACTGTGCAAGTCTTGGAGCAGTTACTTCTGTCATGGAAAATAATTGTACAAAGCATTCCTTTGCTAGCATGACTACACCTCTACAAAAACATCTTCCCATTACAATATGTCATAGGATCTCCTATGTCATCAGGCAGGTCCAATTAAGGATTCAGTCTTCCCCCAATGCTGGGGAATAATGTTACATTTGCCTGTTTGTAATCACATTCTATCAATTCAAAACTGGAATAAAAAAACGGAGAATCAGTTTCTGTATTTTACAGAAATGCTAGTTTAAAGTATCTGAAGATAATGCTTCACTAGAATCGAACACCTACTTTTCTTCTACAACAAGGCAAACCCCAAGGAAAGCTTTTCTTTCCAGTCTTTTATCTTTTCCACCCAGAAGCATGCTGGTGACCCAATGCTTTTACTGTTTCAATACTTAAGCAGTGTGCACATTATTTAATTTTAAATCCTGTATACAAATGCAGTTAAGTATGTTACTCTGAAAGATCTTACTGAAGATAACTAAAAGAAGTTATTTGCATAATAAAGCATTTTTACAAGTAATAAAGATGGAAGACACACTGAGAGAGAATCCTGGCAATTTTACATAAAGAATTCAGTGTTTCTGGTTGTGTACTGATAAATATGGAGCAATCCCTTGTCTCTGATGAAACCTTTCAACCATTTGTGTCCTTTGTTAACTCCCAGCAGGTGGTGTTTTAAAAGAGCTAACTAAGAGCAATGGGCTAAGTAGTGGAGTTTTCCTTCAGTAAGAAATCCACATCTTAAACACAGCCATGAGAGAAACAGATCTCTGCTGTTTCAAATCCAACTAGAACAGCTTCTTGAAGAGTTTTGACCATAAAGTGCTTTAAGTTAAGGAAAAAAAAGGCAGCTGGAAGATGTTAACTTGGTTTCTAATTGAAACAATGGTGTGTTTTATTTCATGTTGGGATTTCAACAGACACTTAATTAGACTTTTTAACCATGCAGTTTTCATTAAAAAATGTCTTGATGACATTCTGGTCATCTAGAAGTTCCTGGGAGACTTGACACCTGTTATTCTTTGGAAGAACATTCATAAAAGGCCCGCAGACAAATAACACTCCCCAACCCACAGAAAAAATATTAAGTCTAAATATCCAGAGTATTTAAAAGAATAAGGAAAATACTGGAAAATACTTTGTGAGGTCCAGACTTAGTGATGATAAGCAGACAGCAGTGCTCAAAACAAAATACATGGATTCTCTGCTATGTTGTGGAATACTAATAGAATATTTACAATGCGAATGTGTGGCTGATTAAGTCACTACTAGGGCATTTCCTAAGGACATTAAAATGTTATGCTTACCTATGTTATGAAAAACAGTTTAGTTATTGAGAACAGCATTTGAAACACAATTTATATATCATTAAAAAAATGAATATACAAGACCAGATATTATCATTCATATTCAAACATGCATTTGGAATATATCACCTCATTTTTCAAAAGACTGAATAAGGAATTCTTGTAAACAGCATCGCTATGATTCATCTTGCAGTAAGATGTATGTTCATCTTGCCACTTTCAAAGTGGCAAAAAATTAGTAAATAGGCAGTATTAAAACATGGAGTGAATTAAAGAAAAGTTCCATGTTATACTGAAGATACTACCTTTAGGTTGAACAAAAGTTAGAACATATTACTGTTACAACAAAGGCATTGTCCAAATGCTTTTTAAATACTGTTAAGTCTGGGACATTGATCACCTATCTAGGAAGCCTGTTCTTGGTAAAGAAACTTCTCCTAATATTAAATCTGAATCTTCCCCTGATGCAGCTTTGACCCATTCCTGTGTGTCCTGTCATTGGATACCAGAGAGAAGAGGTCAGCAACTCTTGCACTTTCCTTTCTCATACCGATCAAAATAAATTAAGTTTGACTCTTGGGCTTTATTGACATGGACAGCATTAATTTTCAGTGCTGATTTTTAAATCAAAATAAAAAAGGATAGATAAAGATATAAAATAATAACATCATCAACAAAGCTTGAGATGCACTGGTAAATTAGAAAGAGAATATATTTTGTTATTGTGTAGTAACTTACTTGCCTGACTTTTGGTAGAAAAGAAAGTTCCCGAATTCTCTTGCTCTCATTAATAGACAAATATTGTTCTCTGTGTTATGCGTACACAGAAATAAGTGCATCAACTGCAATCTGGCCTGAGTTAGCTCCATCTTTTACATGAACAAGGTCCATGAAGGCACATTTTGGGATTCTTTTATGGATCTAAATGAAGGGGGAATCTAAACCGTTATTGCCCCAGAAGTTTTCTGTCAAATTTTAGCCGAAGTTTACTGTCCCCAAAGTGGAATTCTCACATGAACCCTACTAGCCTGTTTCAGTACAAAGTCAGCAGAGTCAGCTTAAAGCATCTTAAACCAAATTTGGATGACTTTACACTTATGTGAACAACTTACACAGATACTTTTAGCTTCACAGCTGTGTCAACAGAAACTGCAAGAAATAACGTCTCAACTTCTATAACTAGATGTGAGAGAAATGACCTGTATATGCCTTCAGTCCCTCTTGGAATGAGAAAAATTAATAAGGATGTTAAACAGATTGTGGCAACATGGCTACTATCTCAGTCTCAGGACAAATCAGGGTCTGTTAATGGGAATCCACATCAGACTCATCCAAAAACAAACTTCCAAACCTATAAGAATTTTATATTATTTTTTCTCACCACACATAAAATCAGATGCCTTTTGACTCAAATTTCAGGCAAAGCTGACTGAGTTCGTGTTCGTTACGGCACAGACTGTTGTAGAAATACTGTGTCAAAAACTGTCATAGAAAATACAACCTGCCTCACAAAGCAGGTTTACTCCTGGGAGAGAATTTGGTCCCCCTGTTGTATCCTATTGTATCTGAAATGTTACGCTCTTACCTACAGCTGCTCTCTGAATGTGTCTCTGGGTTAACTCTGCTTTCAGATGGTCTGTAAAAGACATGAAATGCAAATAGTTAGAATTCACAATGTCAAAAATCAATGAAGTCATTGCTTATTTCCCACCATTTGAAACCCCCTGGGCTGCTGGCCAGTTTTGGGGGGATATTTTTGTGATCCATGGGACAAGTAGTTTTCTGAGTTCTCTCCTTCTCTCTGCTGCAAATAAACAAGTAGGCACAATTTGACTTTACATATCCTAAGGTTTAAATTTGTCCATTAAAATGAAAATTTGTCCACTGAAAATGAAGCTATTTACTGTCAAGCACTTTCACAGGATAATGATCTCCTGCTGCTAGATGCAAAAGAAGTCCAAGTGAAATTAGAAGACATACAGAATTCCAAGTATTTGTTCAAACAGACTTATAGGCGCTAACAGTGGAAATGGGATATTATGTCACTAGTCCACCTCTTTGCCAGTGAAAAATTGGTTCCCTACAGTCCATTTTTTCCTGTTTGTCCAGCTGAGTTTTAAATATTCCATGTGCTAGAGCTTCTGCAAGTTCTACTACTCAACACGACTTACTGTGTAGATGTTGGTTTTCAATCAAAATTTAACTTTAATTTCACGATCTCATTATTCCTAGTGAGGCTCCCATGCCCCATAAAATTCACCTTTACCCTCCTTTTATCAGTTTCCTCCCTGATCTATGACACTGTTCCAGTTCACCAATTATTCCAAACCATAATTAGATTACCACATGGGAAGCCATTATTCATAGATAAAAATGGAACCAATAAAGGAAAAACATAACCCTAAATGTGCAATTTCAGCAGTGTATGTGTTCTGAAGGAGGATGGGATTATGCCTTTCAAGTTTTCAAATTAAAACAATTTCTAAGCAGACTTGTTTATAAACTTTAGTAAGCTGTACGTCTGGATACCAGGGAAAGAAAAACGTCCATGTTGGATTTCCTTTTCTCCCCTGACTTGTGAGTATCTACATCATATTAGCATGCATTCTGAATCAAAAATATCCTTTTGCTTAAAAGTGAAGGCTTATAGAGTAAGCTAATCACAGCAAATAAAGTCATTAAAAGCTGTCAAATGCTTAACTAGAGAATGCAAAAGAAAGATTTAAATTCACAGGTCATGAGAATTAGACTGTTCCGTAAGCACCAAAGAACGATGATGACAAATGAAACTTCTTTGGGAATTATAAGAACAACTGTTAAGTATTTAGTAGCATTGTAGAAAAGGTGACATATGCAATACATTACAGTATGACATTCAGGTTTTGTTGTTTTGAATTATTACAGGAAATAAAACAAAACAAAATAAAACACCCTATCTACTCCTTGACTGAAAACCAGATATTGTAGAGTCCTATCTCTGCAGGAATGTTTATTCTTTTTTTAATTAGTGTTACTTAAAGCAATGAATTCTTCTATACTTAAAGTTAACTGCAAAATTAAGAAAAGCCTACTGAGAAACAAGTAAAGTGAAATAACTAACCTTACCTTCCCCTGCTATAACAAACAAAAATATCCTCTGTCTCAGCTGTATTAACACTCAACCAGAAAACCCACTCAGCTGCATAAGCTGATTTCTGTAACTGTAGACAAACCTCCTTGATTAATAACTTTTTCCAATAAAAGCCCAGCTAAATGACCAACACTCATGCTATTTGTACTTTGAAAAGCTTTATAAAGAAATTCAATTGATGTCAATATTCATTGAAATGTACTAAAATGTGCCCTCAAATTGCTTTTTGCTATTCTGGATATTTAGATCCTTGTCTCCTATTGCACTGTATCACACAGTGTGATGTTACTCACTCAATACTGAGCCATGAGACAGTCATGAAACAATTTGTAGTAATCTTGAGATTCATCTCAATGGATTACCATTAACTGAGGTGCCCCAGAAAACTATTTATACATTTATCTTCATGTAAGGCCTCAGAAACTCTTTCTTAAGCACCCTGAGCTGCAAAAGGCAACTGCCACTGTCATTTTGGAAAAAAAATGGTTCTAATAGTGAGAATATGCTGCTCATCCAGAGTCAACTGAAAATAAGGGTGACCTTGCTAGAAACAGATCATGTTTCTAGCATAATCTAAATGTTTTGCATTTCAAGTGGCAATGAGGTCAACTGAAAAAAAGCAAGCCAAACAAGTCAACTAAAATAAGATTGAACAGATAGATAGCAGCTTGCCATCAATAGAACTATGTGCAAACACAGGAACATAGGGAGTATTTTTAATGATTATAGCCAAGAAGTTTGACTTTCAATTATGTAGAATCTACTCTCAGCGCAGACGGGATAGAAACCACAGAAGCTGTAGAAGTCCTACTTCTATTGCAAGCTTTGTCAGACCAGCCAGCAGTGTGAAACACTCTCAAATGCTCCTCTCTTCCTTCATTCTAGACTTTCTACACTTCTGCTCCATCCATGACATTGGCCATGATGTTGCAAGAAAACTTATCTGTCCTCTATTTGGCAGCTTTGTGAAAGAATGAGAAGTTGGAACCAGATCACCTGTAATCAGAGAGGAACCAAAGAAAACTTCTTCAGCTAGAAAATAAAAATCCAACCTTACCATTCTTCTAGCGGAAGAGTTTTCTTTCTCTTCTATGAATAGAAATAGGAAGGTGATATTTACCCAATTCACATAGTCCAAACTGCCTTTTCAGGGCAGCAAAAACTGAACTTCATTTTGCACAAAACTTCCTGAGGAGAAACTGCAATTGTATTATGGGAAAAGTAGCCCAAACAGGAATTGTGATTCAGAGGACATGATGGTATCATAAAGCACCTGACTATAATTCCATACCAAGACTTAGCCAGATATGACTTAATATTTCAATTTGGTTTAATCCAATTTGAAATTTGACAATTTATTTAGACTATAAGAAAAATGTTTTCATGTAGAAACTCTTATTTTTGACAACCTTAAGATTTTCTGTGCATGTTTTTGATTAAAGTAATCTTGTTTTGTTTACACTATAAATACTTGTGGGGGAGAATGAATGTTTCTGACCTGCTCTACTTATCTGCCTCTGAGCACACCATTGCCCCAGTGCAATGCTTGAAGTTCATAAGTGACAGAAGCAGGGGATGATTCCAGTACTGTTGCCTGCACAGACCTTCCCATATAAACAAACGGAAGATTTCAGCTTTTAGTACTGCCAGTTCTACAATCTTCTTAAATACAAATATTTACCCAAAGAAATATGAAGAATCACATTCTCATAAAAAAACTCATGTCTTATGATTCCAACAGTGTAAACTTGTGGACAAGGTAATGCTTAAATGTGGTTTGCAAAAATTGAATTTAAGACTTGGAGAACGTCTCTCAACATATGGCTAATTATGTTTTCTGAAGTTTCACCAAACAAGAAGTTAAAAATAGGTCTATAGCTGATACTAAATAATTTTTTCCAGTGGAGTCATTCTTCATTTGGAGATAACGGTCCCAATAAAATGTTGAATGCTGCAACTGCACATGTTTTGGCAAAATAGTAGTTTTGGGGAATTTAAGAATTCACTCAGCATGCAGCCAGCTGTCATTAAGGCTGTGATAAATCTGTTGGTTTTGGCCTGTGTTTCTGGACATATGTACCATCCTGAGGTATGGAAAAGAGATGAACTGGTAACATAGAATTTTAGCTTTGTGACAGGAGACAAAAGCAAGGAAGGAAACAGAGAAGACAAAATGGAATAGAGAAATCTAATTAAGACTGACATAAAGCAGAGGAAAGTATCCCATATGGTGACTAAATATGACAGAATACATAACTTGAATAATATGGCTATCCTTTAACTTCTGTTGTTGTGTTGTTCCAGACTGTTTCAAGGTTCTGAAATTATATTCCAATTTATTACTGACAAGGAATGCTTTACAATACTGCATATGCTTCAGGACAATACAAAAAACTAGTATGTTACAATTAAAAATATACTGATTAAAAAAAAGTGGTTTTGTTTTGTTTGGGTCCACATTACAGGTTTTAAAGCTTCTCTTATGTTTTATCAGCACTTCAGTGTAATACTATTACAAGGTTTCAAAGACTGCAAACTTAAAGGATAGAAGTGATCAACAAGTTAAGAGCACACATACAACCTTAACTCCCTCCCTTTGAGAATATATGTTGCTATTGGTATGGATAGACCTTTACCTTGATGCAGGGTCTTTTTAGACTCAATAATTGACAGGCTGAAGCCTTTCTCAATAACTTCTCATCTCTTGTTATTTTTTATTGCTTTTCTATTATTTTACATTTTTCAAGCCTATGTTTATCTTAATAAATCCTTCCATCCCAGAGATCCTGAAACCTACACACCTCAACTAGGATGCTGTATCTCTTTCTTTCTTCATTGTTAAATCATTTTTGGTGTTACATAAAATATCTAGCAGAAGATCCTCTTATCCCTCCAGGGAACCTCTGATTCCTGGAACTCACCCCCCTCATGCTACATGGTGTAAATGTTAGCTGTTTCTTTTTTTCCCCTGTTTCTCACACTGCCACACCAGTCAGTAGGCTGGGGTGCATGAAATGCTGGGGTGAGACGCAGCTGGGACAGGTGACCCCAATGGACCAAAGGGATATTCCATACTATATGGTGTCATGCTTAAAAAAAAAGAAGCTGGGGGTAACAAGAATGAAGAGAGGACATTTGGAGTGATGGCATTTGTCTTCCCAAGTCACTGTTAGGAGTGATGGAGCCCTGCTTTCCCAGGGATGCCTAACACTTGGCAGTTGATGGGAAGGAGTGAAGGAATTCCTTATTTTGCTTTGCTAGCATACACAACTTTCGCTTTACTTATTAAACTGTCTTTATCACAACCCATGAGTTTTATCACTTTTACCCTTCTGATTATTTGCCCCACCCCACCAGAGGGGAGTGAGCAAGTGGCTGTGTGGTGCTTAGTTGCCAGCCAGGGTTAAACCAGGACAGAAATATGTAGGAGGTTTGCTTGTAATGCAATGCCCCTACATTTGCAGTTGGACCCAGATATCACCCGACTGTGAAGACCTACTCAAGAC